CGCTCCGCTCCCCTCGCCTCGCCGCGCTCACGGGAGTCCTACGCCCCGGGCGCGCTCCGATTGGCCCCGGTCGCGCCGCGTCACCGCCTCTTCTACCAACCCCAGGAGCCGCCTGCCGGCCCCGAACAGTGACGCCAACTCCGCGCCACTAGCTCTCGGGTGGGTCCATTACACGCATGGGGGAACCTCCCCCCTGCAGGGATGGTACGGCCCGGAGCCCTGCGGCACCCGGGGAGCAGCGCAGGTGGGCGGAGCGAGGCCAAGGTCCCCATCCCCGCCCCGCCCCGCCCGACTCCGTCGCTTCGCTGCAGGTCCCGCGTCTGCCCCAGTGCGTGGGGGGGGGGAGAGAGGGTAATCTCGTACCGCCCGCCTGGAGCTGTTCCAACCAGAACAAATGTTCGAAGACTGATTTTTATTGAACTGTTTATTCTGACTTAAAATAAAAACCTTGCTTTTGTGTAGCAAGATACACTGAAGGTATGCCATACTGCCAGTTACTGGGGTACAAAAGACACCCCACTTTGTAACCCAAACTCTCAGAGGAAGATGCATCAACTCATACCTTCACAGCATGTATCATTGGTATTATTTACAGTTTATCTTGTTTAAATAAGCCTGGGACACTTCATACAGTATACATAGTTATTGCAATAGTACAGCACTTGCTTTTATGTTCAAAAACCTCAAAAGTTGTTCAGTATCATGATTTGTGGATCCCCAAAAAGGCATTGGTTGTTAACATGCAAAAAACATTACTAAACAATATCATCTAGCTTCTACGGCTGCCAAATACTTGACCTGAATAAGGAAACCAATTACGAAATCCTTTCTTCTAGTGCTATACAAAAAGTTATAAAATTAAGGTTTTTAATCAACCACTTAAATATTCCAATTTTCCAACAGTGCAGTTTTCCACATCTTTATCTCTACTGAACATTTTGAGGATAAAGTTAACAAAAAACCCAGCAAATTAGATAGAAGTTTTAATCTTTGGATCCCTTTATTCCTGTGGCCTTCATATACATATACAAACACGAATGACCAGATTTCTGTTTCAGTTATAACTTAAACATATCAAAAAGTTGTAACTAGCAATTTAGAACTGGCAAAAAATCCATACCCTGCCTTTCTGGGTTCACTGGTCTAAGAACCAGAATTGTCTCGTCTCCAAGCTAGTCTATCAAAATGCAAACAACTTCAAACACTAAGAATTCTCTTCAAATTGGTTATGTCTACAGGTATTACAACAAGGTTAACATTTCAAGAACTGACAAATGGAGACATAGTACTTTTGTACCAGGCATTTCAGAAGGAGCATCTTAACTCCTATGCCTGCTCCAGTTTCTTCTTTTAAAAAAAGTTAATATTTACTACTAAGTAAAACTAAATTGCAAATTTTGACATATGAAAAAGTTTTATTTTTGCCCTTATTTGAAAAATACTTTCTTAAATTTGGTCAAATCCTGTGATATGCCAGAAACTACAAAATCAAGTTCTTGCAAGAGAGAAACTAAGGGTATATCCAGTTTTGTATAATGGAAGAACATTTTCAAAATCTTCATTATAGTTCAGATATAAAAATCAAGCAAATTTAAAGCCTGAAAAGCTACCAAGGAAAAAAACGACTCCGTGTGGTTTAGCATATCAACTTTTGCAATAACACAGTATGTTTGCCGACTTAAAAATGTTTATTCTTTAAAAAATTAGTTGCTTTTTATACAGCTATACAAAGTTCGTAATGTTTCTTTGGCAATGGGATATAATGGAATTTTACAACTATATAAAAAAAGTTTCCTTTGCCTAAGAAACAGTATTTACGGTGTGTACATATCCGACTGACAAAGCAAGTTTTCTACTGTCCAGCACCCTAGTTGACAAAGTACAACTATCTCAAAAGGGATATTACAGGATTTCCAAAAAACAACCTTCAGTGGATCAAAAACACTCACAGTATCGACGGCCTTCTGCATACAATTGTCCTTGCAACTTGCAGCAATTATCAAATACAATTTAGTAATAAGAAAAATCCTTTCGGTGATGAAAAAATACTTAAATTCCATCGAAGTACTGCTTTATAATTAACTATACATAAGAAATTACTAATCCTTCTGTCTCAAATATATTTAATGCTCATTGTTCTCAAAGATGGCCATTTTTCAAAAAGTAACTGCATTACACCCCTTTGAAGTTAAATAGTTAAATCCCAGTGCTGGTGACAAGTATACAGCAAATTAACTTCATTCTTTGCAGAGACTGAGACTAATTCTCTGAATCATGAAGATCTAGCAGTTCATCTGGTTCCAGCTTTCTTGTAGACTATGCAGAAACTTTGTTGTCTTTCTAGAGAGAATATAACATTAGAAAGTTATTTTTTGTTTGAAGCTGTTTGAGGTGAATAGCTTGAGCATATGCAGATAGACTAATTTTAGAAGACCACTAAAGTATAAAGGTATGGTTTCCCCCAAACCTATTACCACAGCCACAAAGAAACTGATTCCATTAACTTAACTTCTGTTCAAAGCATCCTCTCAATTATTCTGGCACATTCCAAGTCAGCCACATTCACGTAGGCTAAGAAATAGCTCTCCGTTTATGAAGATTACAGAGGTTCCAGGAACAGTTGTTTTCACTGCGACTAAACAATTTAAATTTAAAACTCCACGGTACTATGGTGATTTACACCAGCCACTGGCCAATTACATTTCACAATACAGATTTGTGTTTTGCTTTTTTTGGGGGGTGGGGGGGTAGAATGTGTTTTGCTTGAAACACCTTAGGCACACTTGCCATTTGTTGCCCGGGACATCCATCTGCTTTGTCCTTCCTAGAAAACATTGGGAAGGAGAGGAAATAAGAGATACACCCAGGCTTCAAGGAGTGCATTTTAGTAACTCTGTAAGATGACCGAGTGGCTTATTTAATTGATCAGGCTATTTCAGCTAGACAAGTTATTTGGTGTCCTGTGCTTAGTGAAGACTTGAATTAGGTCGTCTTTATAAAGCAGGCCTAAACAAAGAAAAATAAGCGTTTCTTCCAAGATCTATCCTGTTAGAGTGAAAAAGTCAATCTTGTATGACCTCCCGTAACAAAAACTCTGAATTGAACCGTTATGGCCGTAGCTCTGCATAATCAAAACTAAGCCCGACAGTAAAAACAGCAGAATTGCGTAGCTCAAGAATTATTAGTCTCCCTTTCTACAGGTGGCCAACTCAAGGCCCTTTGCATTACTAACTCCTGCAAAAGCTACTATTTTAGAGGGGTTGTGACAGTTAATAGGTGCAAAGGCTGTGTCACACCTAAGGAATAGTTACTGCTTCGGAAGAACCCAGCAGTAATTTGGTCACGAAACACAAAGGCTGAAAGATTAAACCTCTTACTGCCGTCACAAAATTATGTTGCTCCATCAAGTTTAAAAAAAAAAAAAAGCAAGCAAGGATCATGATTAAGAGCAAGACTTTCTATATTCACGTTTACCCTAAACATTTCATAACCAATACAGCTATGAAAAGAAACTTAGTGTACAACCAAAGTTTAGCTCTCACCTCCAAACCCTTAGATTTCAGAATACTGTTTAAAGATACTTATAATTCTTGTTCCCGACTCTTCAATATTTGTAGAACTTTATAATTTTTAAAATCTAAAATACAAAAATATGTAGGCATTTTGGAAAAAAAAGTAATTTTCAGGTCTTGGCTGCTGTTGATATTTATCAATGTTGATAATGTTAATTAAGTTTTAGAGTTAGGTCTGCTGAACTATCCTTTTTCAAAAAAAAGATCTTCAATTAAACAAATCATGCATTTGCCTAAAATTAGTACAAAAAAAAGTTTATTCTCAAGTGTGGTATCATTTTTAAAAGCCTGCCCCAATACCCACTCGAGTCCGCAGTGGGTTTCAGTTTTCAGTGAGCATAGATGAGATCTTAAATCCTTAACTGAAAATGTAATTAAGCACATAAATCAGTATCACTTCAAACTGTACTTAAAAATAGTGATTATCAAACATCTTATTACCCGATATTCAAAGTCAGCAAACTCTCTGCCTCCACGTCCTCCTCTGAATCCACCACGAAATCCTCGGGGGGTATTGAAGCCACCTCTTCCACCTCCTCGTCCTCTTCCGCCACGGAAGCCCATTCCTCCCCTACCTCGAAAACCTCCACGGCCACGATTTGGACGCAGCGGTATTCCAAAGGTTTCTGCATTTAGCCTTCTCTCTTCCGCCCAGGTGGGTCTTCGTTCTCTACCACATATAAAGTAACCAGAGCCCCTTTTAGATAAGTCTAAGAACGTTACTTTTGAGAAGTCTACGCTGGGAAAGCTTGTCCAGCAACGGTTAAGTCACGAGACAGACATGAAATGCAACATCATTTGTTTAATCACTTTCTAACTCTTTGAAGTAGCATCTACTGGATGCATCTGAATATGTGGTATAATATCTTACTACGTAAATTTAAATCAGTAGGCAGTAACGCAAAAAAAAAAAAAGAGCTTAAACTCCTGAAAACTCTAAGGTAATGACCGATTCTAAAGTACGTTCTTAAAATCTGAAGAAAATCTTTAATAAAAACTAAAAAGCCTTACTGCCATTATCCATGTGCCACACTGATATTTTACTGAGTTGTCCTTAAAAAAGGGCATTTTGGTTTTTGGCCTGGAAATTATATGTGCCTTGACTTCAGCTCACTTCCCATTTGTAGTCACATTTCAGTTACATGTAGCTTGTACTGCTGACATTACATTAGGATTAGAATAAAGAATTTCTTCTTACAGGCAGTACCTGTTGTCATCACAGGAGATGTTATCAAAGAAGGATTTGGTTTTGTCATAGTAGCAATTAGGGCCAAGGGGATCCTCTTCATCAGCATTCCCTTCACTGTTTTGGGTATCAACACCTGAGTCACCTTTATCTTCTCCATTTATAGGCTTCTCCGGTTTCTCAAGTTTATCTTCTAGAAAAACAAAAATAGTGTGTCTAATTAAAACGGAGGCATAGCTTGTGCCATGTGTAACCTTTAAGAATTATGTATTTTTAATTTATAAAGTACAAAGAAAAGATCTGAAGCCTAGGAGTCCTCAGGACATTCCTATTTGAAGGGGAGCATACAGCAATTTGTGAACTATGTAAACTATAAAAGGGAACGGTTCTGACAAGATTTAGTACGCACAACCCTTGGATAACCTGGAAGGAGAACACAATAGTTTTCTATAATCAGATCTGAGTGCTGCTACCTATTACCAATGCCTCCTTCATTTAGATTTATGGCATTGCCATCCTTAGGTCTGCTGTTACCTAGATTCTCTGCAGGTTAAAGAAGGCAGTATCAGTATGGGGCTCCAGGCAAATGTTCATTTAATAGTGCAATGGGATCCAATCCCAATGATTCCATTACGATCTACAGAATCTCCCGGTCCTGGGGCTAGGGCCATAAATCAGCTGATTGTGGGTCCCAGCCTGGGACTGGTCCTAGGGCCCCAGGCACCAGGATGTCAGAGAACCTTGTGTGCAGCCTAGCTACACGTGCAGTTTTTAAAGTCCTGGCACACTGGGCCCTAGGAGAGATTTCCGATACCTGGAGTCCACATGCACCAGGAATATCAGAAAACTGCATGCAGTCAGACTGCGCATGTGTTGTTTTTTTTTTTTAAAAGGTCCAGGAACATCTTTATAGCTGTTTTCTCCACAGACAAGTTTGAGGGCTGAAGAGGGTAGAATAAAGAAACATTACTTAAGAAAGTAATGTTTTAACAGATATACCTAATATATTCAAATTGTGTAACTTGGGATATTTTGTATTTCATAACTAAACTAAATTATTTTCAAAACCTCAGACTAAAGTACTGAGCCAAATATATCTTTAAAAGCTACTAACACATAAGGAAAGATCTCACAGAATTAGGATTTCCCTGCACCCCCCATTTTTACCTTAAGTTACTAAGGGGGAAAAACAAACAAAAATAAAAGGTTAGCATGAAAAATAAGGTTCCCCAAAGCAGGATTAAGTTCATTAAGCTACACGAATCTTTGTTTTCTTCCAATGCTGAAGTTTTGTACAGAAATGATATTTTACCTTTCAGTTTAAGTTTATTATGAAATTCTCTATCAATCTCCTCCTTGTTGAACTGTGCATTTGCACTTTCAAAGTCAAAGTCCTTCTCAAACTTCATTGGGCCATCCCTCCTAATACCAAATCTTCCTCTGCCACCCCGGTGACCTCCACGACCTCTCCGTGCTGAAGGGGCTCCTGGAACTGTAAGGATTAAGTTTCGAAGACATTTACAGCTGTCAACCGCCCAGCATGACAGGTCTGTACCCCCGCCGTAATCTTTTTGCATTTCTTACAAATAAAATGGATCTTTTGTTAGAGCATTTCACAATCTTAAATTCAACTACCATAAATAATACACTAGCAAAGAAATTAGAACACCTTAGGAAGGGCTGACTTATCACCTTTATTTGAACAAGAAAGCTGTACGAGACAGAAGAGACTTAAGTGAGGAAAATATTTTTAATGTAATGCTTTAACCCAACATTTTACCTTTTTATTTAGCAGCTTCTCTAGTAAATTATAAAGTTAGAATTTCATGCTCATGCTTTTATGATCAGTTATTTGTACTTACAGTTCTCGTCAAATCACTACTTAATCCATTGCTAGTAATACATTCCCTTTCAGCTTCATTTGTTGTAATGCTACCCCGAATGAACATTACTGCTGTCCACCAATAAGCTGTTCTGTGAAAGTGTCTTATGGTGCCAGATTTTTCTATAGTACCACGCACTACACAGCAGTTCAAGTTAGCTCAATTTGCAAACAATTTTTAATTAGAGGGAAAAGTTTCCCAACTATCCACTTTACTGAAATACAATGGTTATTACATTTGTAGGTTTGGTAATTATGTTAATGAAGCCTTAAACTAAGTTTTAAAAGCAACGTTAGGTTTTTTTTCCCTCAAAAAATATTTACCCATTTGTCGCTTGTCATTTCTGAGTTGTTCATTTTCTGACCTTGAAACCTTGTGTGCTTCAGCTAGAGAGAGGAGAGATAGATAACTGTTTTCTAAGCTGTGTATGGTCCATCATACTTCTGTACACAGCTATGTTGTAGAGGTTTTCTTTTCTTTTCTTTTTTTTTTTTTGGGGGGGGGGGTATTAAGAGGGAAGAGGCAAGGGTGAAAAAATCAAGAGTTACCATACACATTTGCCATTCTATCCCCATTCTTTTTTGTTTTCAAGTGAAATTAATGGTAAGATTGCTATAATTCTTTGGATACGATTCAGACAACTGGCACAACTAATAATGAACAGCAGAAATTCTTATATGCCTTTCCACGGATCTTTCAATTGTACAATGGGGAAACAGAAGACCAGTAAAAGGAAAATTTCCGAAGTCCTACCTCGTCTGTGCTCCTGATTTTCTAGCGATTTTTGACTTGCAGATGCCAGTGGTCTGGCTTGTACAGGACTCCTCCTCCCAACAGGTGCTGGAGCAGTTAAGTGGGCTGAAGCAGTCTGTACTGCCTGTTCCATGGTTGGGCTCTTCCTCAAATGGTCTATCTGAGGGCTTGAACGACCTACAAAGTAACCAGAGTTATTTCTTACCTATAATGTGATTTGTAGATCTCAAACCAACCAACCCAGTCTGAAGGGGTTATCAGTCTTACCAGTCAAGACAGCTCTGTCCAAAAAGGAAACAAAAACATTTCTGCACCCTCAAATCCACTAATCTAGAATGACTATAGTAATTCCCCCTTCCCCTAGTGTAAAAGGGAAAAAAAAAAAAAATGGGTAGGACAATTAATCCCCATCTACCTAGCCATCATGCACTATTTGCTACGGAATGGATTTTTCTGATGCTTGTGGTAATTCCTGCCAGCCAAACCTTTCTTCTGAACTCTTTCCTTAAAGGTATGAGTGGAAAAAACTGCCCCAAATGGCACACCTACATTTACTGTATATAAACCTCTTTTTAATATTATAAAAGTCTAAGTCTCTCCTTCTCTCTCTGTCATGCTTTACTGGCTGACGGAAACAGCCAGAGTGCTCCAAGCGTGGGGGAACGCTGCCATGATTCTGAAGCTGTGCTGAGGACCAGACAGAGGGTGAGGGAGCTGAGGCCAGCAGTGCTGGCCTTGGCTCCCCAACCCTGCTCCCTGCAAGCAGCAGAACAGCAGCAGCATGAGGCATCAGATGGTGGCACTCCATCCCAACTTCCTCCCCCCATCATTCTTGATGGGCAATTTGCTATAGTTTTATTATATTGCTGTCTGTTTTACAAAGTAGTAAACAGAAATAGATAATGCCAGGCATAGACAGAGGAGTGTAGAAGCCTACCCACAGAGTTCTCTTTATGCATCCTGATTTGCAACATTCTTGCTATTGCAGCTTTAAGCTTCCCTTGAGGCAGAGACATCCAGCCACAAGCTGCACAACTGAATATGATATGGACAAATTCCAAATTCTGCTAGCAAAAAAGGGCAAAATAACCCATTAGCCCTAGACTTGAGAACTGAAACTGGGAATGGGCAATTTTTAATTTTTATTTTTTTAAGTGCCAAGAAATCTTGTGACTACCTCAGGAAAATTTTGACAGGTAAAGTCTTCAAACCACATAGTACTAAGCCACAAACTGCTGCTTTTAGTAGTCAAGGGTAAATGCTTAGTATGTTTGTTATTGCAGCAACAGTTCCCCCAATAATTTTACTGATTCCAACAGTTCTCAAAAATGATAGCCCAAATACAAAAATCCAACTAGGGTTACCATATAAGACAATGAACTTAATTACCATTTTTTTTTTTTTTTTTTTTTAAACCTTCCAAGCGATATGTATAAATGCAGAAAATTAATGACAATAACAGTAACAAGATTTCCTAGCCTTGGATACTACCTTAGCCTCTGTACCAAAAGCTGAAAGACCAAATATAACAATTACTTTGCTCTCTTTTGTATTTTGCAAACGAAATGAACAGTAATGTTCAGATAAGTTTCTCCTCATCTTTGCCAAACAAAGAAGTTTATATATCAGGGGTCAGGCCTCCTGAAAACATTTCTTCAGCCCCCCTCAAAATCCCATATCTGGCCATGTAGTTCCTATTACTGTTGAGCTAGGTAGCTTAAACCTTCGCATGCCACATTGCAGATATGCACATTTTTAAGATGCATTAGTGATACTGACAACAAATCCAAGTGGCTCTAGGGATATTGAGAATACAGCATGAAGACTTGCTGTTTCACTTAAGTCCTTTGCTACATAAACACAACAGGACTTGAATATTCATCCTGATAAAACTAATCATGAAACTACCACCAATAGAAACGTGTTACAACAACGATGCACTTATCATCAACGGTGTAGTAATGAAATATGTTTATGCAAGTATCTTAAGGAAAAGAGTTATAGTACTGATTAAATTCTTATATGTACATCATAACTTGATACATTAGTTAAATTAGTAAAACACCTCTTGAATTTTCTTGCTTGTTTTGAGACTTTTTTTATATTACATGAACAGATTAGGACTGTCAATTAATCACCATTAACAGGTGCGATTAACACAAAAACAAATTAACATGTTAATTGTTTTAATGCGTGTTAAATCACTGCTGCTGAGCCCATGCATGCTGGGGAAAAGTGCCCCCCCGCGCGGCTGGCAAGCAGCCAGGTAGGGTCATAGAAGCAGACTCAGCAGCTGGATACAGGTAAGTATGGGGGGCAGGGGTTTTCAACCCCTTTGGATCAGTGTAGCCCTGGCAGCTAGATGCGGAGCAGGGGGTGGGGTGGCATGTGGCCAAACATGGAGCAGCAGCAGCCGCCGCCGCCACCACGTGCAAGCTTCCCTCACCCCTCATGTATGGCTTGGTGGGCAGCACCTGTGCGGCATGGTGCGTGGCAACGTTCTGTCCCCGCCCACCTGCACATACCCCCTAGGCCCTTCTCAAGTACCCCCGGTGGTATGCGTACCCCGGGTCTAAGGTGTGTGTATGTGGGTGAGGGGGCACGATGCCTGCTGGAACTGAGGAAAGCTATCCAGGTGCTGGAGGCTGCAACAGGACAGAGTGAGGTACCTGCAGGGAAATGAGGCAGGGCACCCCTTTAAGGGTGGCAGGGAGCTCCATAGCCAGGCCAACAGCACAGGGACTGGCGCCCATGCTTGCAGGGGCCAAGCAGCCCCAAGAGATGTTGCTGGGGGAAGCAGGGGGCCACAGGTCAGGAGTCAGGCATGCTCCAAACAGGTGCCCTCTTTTGTGGAGTTAGAAATACCATAACCCTAGTTTTTGACCCTTTTCACTTACTGTACTTAATCACTAGGTGGAAATTAGCACAGTTCTACTCTGTTCTTACAGCACTGAGTTGTAATTGAAATCAGTTCATTTGAAAATATAGGAAAAGCATCCAAAAATATTTATTGTAAATTGGGATTCTATTAACTGCACAATTAAATCACAGCTATTTTTAATCTAGTGATAAATTGTGATTTCTTTTTTTTTTTACCACTGTTTGACAGCCTTAGAACAGATGCGTTTTAATTTACTTAGGCATAACTGTAATTATAAACGAAAAAGATGACCAGTAAAGAAGGTTGCTAGTTTTAGTCACTCAAGAAGAGCTTACCTTGAGACATCTGTGTTTTTAAAGATCTTGCATCTGCTGTAAAGGCAGAACCAACTGCATTGCTTTGGGACAAGCTAGCACTAGCTGAAGTTTCTGTTCCAAAAGATGTCAAAGAACCTCCTGCTTTAAAGAAAAAAAATGAGAGCTGTAACACTTTAAACTGGCTTAGATAAATTTTATTTTATAAAATTTTGAATACTGCAGCTAAGACAAGCAGTTATTTTCAAAACAACTAAGCAGCCAAAACCTTAAATCTTTTAAAAAATGCTGTTAATCATGTGACTTCATGCATTACTACTAATCTAACTACAGTTCTGCATAATTTCAGACAACTAAACAGGAACAACATTCAGTAACATACTGCAACGGATGTCTAAACCTGATATAAGCAAGTTTGTCAAGCTTAAGGAGTCCTATTGACACACAAAGTTAGGACAGGATGAGTCCATGACACAAATAACAGAAAAATGCTTTTTATTAATGTGGTTTGTATTTTAACAGCGTCTCATCAATTTAATGGACAGTTTAAGACAGCTACAGATCTATTATTGTTAGACTCCCCTATGTTCTTAGTGAAGCTACAGTCTTTACCCATCTATAACTAGCTATTCTAAAAAGTTAACATGACATTTTCTATAAAGCGAAGTTTGACTTCGCTTGACAACTAAACACATTTGAAAAATTTTACTCTAAAAATCCAATTCCCATTTTCAAAAGTGAAATGATGTTCTCTCATACATATAAAGAAAACAATATTAAATAAAATAGTAGATAATTATTTACTCCTGTTTATGCCCAATAGCTGTGGACAGCTAGGTGAGAAGAGGTAGATTTTATTTCTTCTTGCACGTTAAACAGAAGAAAACATCCAAAGTCACCTAAAAAAATGAATGTTTGTCTCTTCTTTTTGTATTAAGTAATCCAAGTATTTCTCTTCTGTAGAATTCTCATGAATTTATAAAACTGCAAAGTTGTTCATATACCAACTTTCAGCCACCAGAGTAAGAAGGGGTATTACCACTGCAAAGGGTGTCAACACAGACTTTTGCCAGCGCAGCTACAGTGGTGGCTAATCCCACTGCAGATGAATCTTTGATTTCTTCTTCGAGAAAGAAAGTGGATTTTAGAACCCAGCCACTCGGCTTCTAAAGTTTTAGCTGCTTGTGCCCTTTTTCGCTTCTTTATAAATTGCTATACTGAAAAACAATCAGGAAGTCTTCTGCTGAACACCCAGGGCAGAGGAGGAGAATATGTATCATCTTGGCAGCAAAAAACTAATGGCTTTTATACATTAAACTGAGGGTTTGTGATAACTGATCAAAAATTTGGATCTGGCCAAGTACAGAGGAGCTTATAAAAGGAATACTAAGTACCAATCATTGTACATCAACTTCAAAAATACAAAATATAAAAAAAATAACGATGAACATACCCACTCCAACAGCACCAAACTGCTGGCCAACTAATGGACTTGGACTAAACTGACTGTAGGCTGGCATTCTACCAAAAGGACCATAAGACCCCACAGACTGGAATGAAGATGTAGAAGATGACCCTAGTGAAGACTGAAGAAAACAGTATTACAGAATACAGGGATTTTGCAAAGCAAGGAGATAAATAAAATAAGACTGGCCATTATGTTACCACCTATAAACAACAGGCATTCATTTTGTTGTATTCTGAGATTAACCAAAATGTCCTATTTATAAACATTCCTTTTAATACAGAAGCTTCAGGCCCTTCCTACACTTTAATTGCTTTAATCTGCTAAAGATCTCAGGACAGACAGCAATAGCTACCACCCAGTAATCCGAAAACATGCATATCTTGAAAGCTCTGCATGGCTCCAATGCAGCAGCTGTGTTGCCACAGTGTGAAGTGCACCCTGGGAAGGCATTAGCTGTTGAAGGGATTACTGGAGCCAGCAAAAGGTGCTGACAGAAGGACGGTTCTGCTGCCACAGAGGAGCTTTGACTGTGAACACCCTCAAATTTTTGCTTGAGTTCTACAAGCATATTTTGCAGCAGAGACTGGGCTTCTAAATGATGGCTACATCAGGAGCAAAGAAACTTCTACTCCATGTTAGAACCCAAAGTATGCACTCCATCAAGCGAAGATAAACATGCCAGACTTTTGAAATTATTCATGCAATTCAGACACTGCTTTTACAACACAATTGCGTTGCCAACCTGTTATTACATACTAGTTCTCTCAAGGTTTGCCATTTTCCTTAAAGAGGAACTGACCAACTCCCACCTCACGTAGTTCCTAAGGCTCTCTGCTTGCTGTCAGTGCTAGTTTTATGACAAAGATATATTCACTATCAACTCTGACCGTAGGGACAGGCTGGAGATATAGCTGGTTCTTCCCGTCTATACATATTCTGAGAAATTGCAAAAAGCATGAAGGAGAACTAACGCAACTCCAAAAGGTGAAGTATTCCCTTTAGTAGGGAGCCATTTTCATATATAAACAAGATCTTAACATACTTTTATCATCTTGGTTAATACAAGTTTGAGCACACAGGTTAACATTTATTTATTTATGTATTTATTAAAAAAAATATAAAGAGTCATAGCCATTTCAGAGGGCTAGGTTCATCTAGTCTTATACACCTTAAGGACCCGTATTTTCAGGAAGCTTTAAGCACACAAATTCATGACCTTTAAACGCGTGTCAAGTTACATCAAAAGGCAAAATATTTCTGAAAATGTTGAACTATGGAGCCTAATACTTGATAGTAGAGAACTGTTTTACATGTAACCAAAAAGAGCTAAACAAACCTAGCTGGAAAAAAAAAACCTGAAAGTAACACCTGTATGATTTTAAGGCACCCAGATCTTGCTATCACCTGGTCCAAAATGAAAGGTAATGTAAAACCTCATCTATTCTTCAAGATGATGGATCTCGTGTTAGTGTTTATTTGAAAGACACACTGATATTAGATCATCAGCAATAAACAACTTTTACCTGAACAATAGCAGGGTCCTGTGGCAGAGAGCACTGTGGCTTGGGTGGCTCACACACAGTTAGATCTTTAATGTCACTGCCACGGAAAATGATGTATTCAAAGACTTCATCACGAGGGGCTATAGGCCGATCTGTTGGTCTATCTTCTGTACCAAAGGAACGAACTGCAGAGCGGGAGAAGAGAGGGAGAAAAAAAACACAGGAATTTCAACTGTATTTCAGACCAACACTCATGACATACAATGGGAAAACATGCATCACTGAGTTTTGTTTTCCCAAGACATCAAAACTAGACTGCTACTTAATATTCATTAGATGGCACTTTTTTAGCATCATGTCAAAGCAGGCTCTGCTTGTGAGTTGCATACCACCTCTGCCTCTTGAAATGTAATGAAAGAAAACTACTTTGCCCAGTTCTATTCCGGCTGAACATGTGGAATAAAGATTTTCCCTTTAAACACAGCACTCTCTCTGAACACTTGTAGATAATTAAAAAAATATGTAAGCAAAGTCTAATATTAAATGATAGATTCATACCACAAGGGTTCCTTTTTCAGTTAAAATAAGATGCTTTCTGTAAGACAAGAGATCCAAGATAACAGATCCTTGAAAGTAGAATTCCAGATACTACATTTGATAAAGATAAGGCATCCGGGGGAAATACTCCCCTCCCCCCCACACACCTGGATTTCACTACAATGATGAGATGCTTTGAATCTTATACTTCTAAAATAGCAAATTAAAAGGCAATCTGAAAGTTTGGTTTAGTGATAGAAGGTAAACAAAACTGACTCAGCATGATCATAACATTTAAATCTCATTTTATACCTTGTAAATTATAAATGTTATACAATTATGAAAGCAAGCCAGAACACATGTAATGGATTTTTCTTTGCAGATGAATTCCAGATTAGGCTGCATCTTAAAACTCATTGGGACAGGATCATCTTCAAAGCATTCTGGCAGCTATTGTACTGTAACATTTAATATACACATTCAACTGACTTCCAATAATTTTTACAAACACCTACTGCAAAGACCAGTGGTTCTCATCAATTTTGGACAAGGCACCCCTCCATAAAACTTTTCTGAATCAAGTGGCTCCCAATTTCAACAACTAATCGATATATTACACATCTACTCTCCTTATACCAGCTGGGCAGTAGGGGTAGGGATCCCAGGCAGGGACAAACCTTCTCTCTTCACACCTCATGGCACCATTCAAAGGATCTGTTGGCACCCCGGTTGACCATCACTGACATAAAAAAATGTAACTGCCTATTATGCTCCCTTCATTTTGACATGTGTAACCACTACCAGTGAACTGAAACAGCAACAGTGGGCTAAATCACTTCCTTCTCCCTCATTTGAATCTTTGCCTTCAAACTTGCTCCCTCCATTTGAAATACTTTATTTCCTACCTCCCTTTAGGTTTATGTTTTTTGAACAAACAGTCTGTTCTTTTTACCTTGGCTCACTCAATTCTAACTCTTGGTTGCCTGGCGTTTGCCCTCTCAAATGACGTTCTCTCATTAAGCCCATCAATGAATTTTCCCTAGCGAAGTCCAAAGGTTGATTGTCACAGAATTAACCACCGCAAATGCTCAAATTGCATATCATCCTTCTTAAAAAAACAGAAAAAAATCACTAGATCTTCTTTAAAACACATTAAAAAAACAAAACACAGATTTTGGGGTCTTTATCTGGAACTAGAACAATAATATGTAAATCCAGTGAATAGTTTTTATAGAAACAGCTAATATACTTGCAAATCACCACAGACAGCAATAATGTCAGAGTGAATTTGATTTAAATCAAATTGATTTAAATAATAATTTAATTCATGATTTAATTCATTGGTCAGAAAGCCACAATTTAATTACTGTTTCCTACAAAAAGTATATTCTTGTTGTTTGATATAACCTCAATACATATTATTCAGAAGTCAAGAGATAGATGTAGGTTTCATTTTTAGAGGTTCACACTATACAGTTTAAAGCAGTGATTCATTTTGATATTTTTCAGATTAAATTTTGCAGCTACATCAGAAAACTGAATTATGATTTAGGTATTTTATTTACTAAAGCTAATTAAGCAGACTTGTGAAGTCATTGGGAGGTGAACTAATTTCCAATTCACTAGATTAATCATGGATATTTGACGGATATTTTTGCCACACTGTATTAGGAGGACAAGAACTGGCACCAAAAACAGACGTTTAAATTGTTTTATTTAACTAACAACAACAAGTTTATGTATTTTGGATACTTTTCTTCAACAACAAACATGTATAATTATTTTCACAAAACAAGTATATGTATTTTTTTTATTTTTTAAATTTAACCTTTAGTTATAAAATGTGAAATGTATTTTTAACAAAAACTAAATAGATTATTTCAGCCAGGTCAACATGAGAAACTTAAAATACTGGGTTATACAGCTACAGCAAACTCAGTCTTCTCCTTCCTCTTCCTGTTTATTCATAGACTGGAAAAGACAGACAAGCTTTCCTGCTTTTTCAGTGCTCAAGCAATTTCTCAATTTAGAATGAATTAGTCCAAAGGAAGAAAATATTCTTTCCATTCCTGCAGAAGATGCTACTGCTGTTAAAAGATGGATTATCACTTCAATAGTCTATGATGGATCCAGGTACTTACGTGACTTTTACCAGTTCACTGGTGTGTTTGCTGATGAGGTTTTAAAAGAAGGCACATTTCTTGAACAGTTCACCCTTAGCTGTGAAGTTTATTATAGTTGGTATTGTGGAGGTGTGATTGCTGGATGCCCATGTCATAGCCAACTCTTTCTTCAGCAGTTAAGGATTGACCCTGGTACTGAGCATTAAAAATACTGGCAAGACAGTGAGCGGATCAGGCACCATCTCTAGCTCATTTTTTAATGCCTGTAATTCACACAAGCATATCAGGCTCAGGTTAACAATCTTCCCCTCTTGACTTTTTGCACACTGTTTGATTTGTCTCATATACTTTTACCAGCAATTTGCCTGCTTTATCTGCTGTGTTGGGGGGACTGTATCCTGGTCGTAATGACAGAACCAGGCAGGTCAATCAAATGTGTGTTTTCAACCATATGGAAAGGAGAGTTTGTTGCATAAACTGAAACTAAGCACCACAGTGATGCTTAATGTGATCTTCTAAACTAAGCACTTGAGTCCCATTGGGTAGACTAGTTTGCTTTAATCTTTACCAATGTACAGAGAACCCCCAGCAAACCCCATAAAATTGAGCCCCTAATATAATCCATGGCCTGTTACGACCCATTTATAAGACATTTTTAAAAAGGTTACATGAATATATTGTCTCAAACAGTATATAATTATAAATTATAATCCCTATGCCATGATGATATATTTGAGTTTTAACATCTTTATATAGGTTTATTTTTTAAAAACATTTAAAAAATAAAAGATTAATAAAAAAAATCTGATTTAAAAGAATTTTTTTTTTTTAAATATTGATTTTTATTCACTCTGAATAGTGTTGTCATTGGCTATGATCCAACAGGCTCCTCTGAACTCTCTTTTAATTGCCTTCCTGTAGAAGCCTTTTTTTTTTTTTTCTTTTTTTAACAACATGGAAGCTGTTTTGATCAAACTGTCCTTCATTTTCAGTGCAGAATGAGAGGTAGATAAAAATGACCAAAATCTTCTGAAAATAAAACTTCCATGCTACAGAAAGTCTAGGGACTTCCTTTTTAACTACTTGAAAGATTAAACATGAAAATAAGCAATAATGGAAGCTAATAATCAACATCAAGAATTTCTGCTCACAAATTGCCAGTTCGGAAAAATCTTGCTGCTGAGTTCGTTACTAGCATTTTCACGTGTAGAGAGAGGCAGCAAACCATGTCAGTCTGAAGCCAGGTAGGAGGCAGGGCAGGAGAGCACCTTAAAGGTTAGTTTGTTCACAGAGGCATAAGCTCTCATAGGTGATAGCTACTTTGTTGGAGGCCATAAACCAACTTGCAGAAAGCCAGACTTATTATTCTCTAATATTATTCTTTTCATTCAACTACTACAAAAAAATCATCTTAGACATTTTGCCTACAATAATCTCAGCAAGCGACTTGCATGGGAGCAACCTGCAGCAACCTGCTGCCTAAGCACTTGCATTTTCTAGCCAGAGGGAAGAAATAAGCTTAACAAAGTGGGTAGCAAAATAGCAGAAGACCGCATTCTATATGTTTTATGAACTATGAAAGGAACCTACTTGGAAAATCCTTCCTCTTGGAAGGCACAGCCTTTTTACCAGGGCATTTCTTTATTAGTATCAAATTCACATAGTACGTGTGGCAGAGAGAACTGAACATTACCTATGACTTTCTGATAGTAGTCTTTGGAATTTTAATTTTGTCTGACCTGTTTTACAGGTTAGCAGAGAATGAAGGAGGTAGAGATGAACTCAAACTGTGATTTTGCATTTTTTGCAGAAACTGCCAAAACAGCAGTTTCTGTGATTTTGCATGGAATCATCAGGGGCAGGGGGGAACGAAAAAACCAAAAAACAAACTCACTGAAACTAAAATGCTTGCTCCCTTGTGGGAGCCAGCTGCTGCTGTGGCCTGGTCTAGCAGCCTGCCAGAGGGTATAAGGGGGGAGTCACCAGCACAAAGTGGAACAACTAAGATGGCTCCTGCTCCCACTTCCCTCCGCCGCTGACTGGCTAAGAGAGCTGGTTTGTGTGGCCCCACCCACTCTGCCAATCAATGGGGGG